AGACACACACACACACACAAACTAGAACACAGAAAAAGCCTCTTCTCACAGCCTAGCCTAAGGCATTTCAGATGCTAAATTTTTCAGTTAAGCCCCATTTTACTCAACACTGCAGCTTTTTTAGATTTACAAAGTAACTTACTACGTCGCTCACTTCCTCACAGACGTCCATTACAACCTCTTTTAAGTGCTTGCATATATGGGACACAGGAAAAAGGACAGAGAAAGAACACTTCAGCAGGGCCCATAGTGCAGCATTAATATGAATAAAATATAGACTAAAAATACTTTAACTATACTGACAAGTTAATTTCTCACAAATCACTTTTTTATTCCTCCCATGTATATTGCCTTTGGATCAAATCTCTACAAACTGGAGATGAATGAAATCTCTTTCATGATTATTTTACTGCTTTTCATTTTTGTTCCATAATGTTACTTGGCATTATGCGTCACCTTTTTCCTGTAATGATCTCCATAACTCCTAATCTGTCCTCGTCCAACTACACTTTACCACCGTCGTATTTTCTCTGCTTTTAACTTCCACAGTGTGTCTCAGACACTCTGTCCTTTTATGTGTCCTTAAGAGGGAAGAAGGAAAGAGACATAGGGGACAGAGATTATCCTGTTTTCCTAAGATTCAGAGCTGAGTGAGGGGAGATGGAACCCAGCCATTATTTGATCCGACGGTGAGCAAAAAGGCAAAAAAACAACAGCAAGAGATCTGTTGGTTGATCAAGACCCTTAAGATGAGTTCAAACTGAAGAGCAGCATACATTTTAACATTTAACATTTTTAAAATAGAATTTAGTTTAGAGTTAAATGAGACAGTATGAACAATTGGATGAACCTCAGGGGTTCTGAGGACAGGCCTGGTTAATTTTTGTTGTCTTTTATACACTCTTCATCATCAAAGTATTAACAGGGAGGGAGGACAGGAAGGAAAGACAATGAGTACAAAGAGTGGATGTCTGGTTTGGTTTATTCAGTAAGACAGGACGTGCAGCCGCCAAGAAGCTGTTTTGTGACTGGGTGGTTTGATATGATTCAAAGTGAAACTTTAATTCTTCTCCTCCCGCATTGACTTTATTATTTGTATCTTATAGCACAGAATGGTAGGGACAGTCTTTCAAGATGTCAGTTCCCCAAATCCATATTCCTTCTCAGATGTAATTATGTGTAAGATGAAAGATGTCCAAAGAGTTGACTGTAACAGCTGTCTGGTTTTAGTGTTTTACAAGGGATTGTTGCCTTAAAAAATGTATCTGTGCAACTACAGGGTAGTGGTAACTGCTAAAACATAGTGTAACACTAGTGCAATAGAAAGAGTCATGTATGCTTTTCTAACATTATGAAATGCACAA